CTAAGAGGTACTAAAACACAGATTCCCGAAACAGCACCGTTTTTGACTAAAACAGTTTCAAGAAAAACAGCAGCTACGATTTTCAGCCAAACGAGGCCTTTAGAAGCCGAATTTCAACTTTCACCAAAAACGAAAATTTTAGATCTCGACAAGACGAGGAGGTTTCATGAATAACAAAATTTTGAAATCCGACTCTAAAATACAGTAAAACGTAGATTTTAGAACTTGCACAGTTTTTAACGAGACAAAAATAAAACAGTGTCGATTTCAACAAAAAGTTATAAAAGAACCCGAGATAGAATTTCAATAAAACACAATGACATTAAACCACATTTTAATGAAAGTATTCATAAAGGAAGTTTTCAAGAGAAAATACTTTCTTTAAAGGACATAGTGGGTTACCGAGCGAATTATCCCGACGGGCACCTACGAGCCCAATACGATAGGTCCGTAGAATTTTGAAGATTTAATGTGGGTCCAACGCCCACATTAGTTTAAGAGACTCTGTTGGAGTATAAATTTCAGTGGCGTAAAAGTTAGAATATCATGTATAAGTCCTAGGCCGAATTCGACCTTAATAGCGTAGCAAGGGAAATTAAGAAAAATAAGATTTTGAAGATTTAATAAATTAATCTTTATTATCCTTTAGTAAACAAAAGGAATATATGCCTTATGGAAAGGGTTATATTTTTCTTCATAAGTTGCTAAAATAGAATAGCAAATAATAGTTGATCTCACACTCTTAATGGGTGTTTATTTTCAGAAGAAAGTAAGAGACTAGGCTGATAGGCGAAAAAGGGATTCCAGCTTTGAAAATCAGGTAAGTAGGAATCTCGCCTACAGTATAAATAGATTTTAAAGTAAACAGTACACATGAACTATATATGTTTGAGTACATTTAATGTTATGAATGCTATGCTATGTTATACTACATACACTTAAGCAGTACACCCGAATTATATGTGTTCGAGTACATGATATAATATGCTATGCTAGGTCATATTGCATACACCTTAATAAGTCAAGAGGAACTTATAAGAGTAATCTCAGTTGAGTGTCGTACCAGCCTCCACAAGGGAGGTAACTCAAGCTCCACAAGGGAGAAAAAAATAATAATAATGATGTCCTCCGACTCAAGGGAGACATTCAAGTTATAATCACGGTGTCATGGGGGACCTTGCAAACCCTCACGGCCGGATGATTGCGCGCAAGTGGTACGAGCACTCCGGTCCATCAGTAAGAAAGATAAGATAAGATAATAAGATTCTGATAAGACATCATAATTAAGCATAATTGGCTCATGCATATTTATTCATGTGAACTTATAGTTATTTTGCGAGAGATAGTTCCTACTTGCTGAGCGAAAGCTCATTATAGAATGTTTATACTGTAGGTAAGCAACCGGCATATAATGCCTGATGGACTGCTGGCGAGTGGACGAACGATGTGGAGCTCGGGATATGGATACCACTCGCAAATATTTCCGCAATCAGCTTTATGTTACAAATAGTTTTGTTAATTATGATTATGAAACAGATATGTTAAGGTTTGAATATTTTAATTAAGAAAGCAATTTCGTATTTTATGTTTATTATAAGACCTTTAAAAAAAAAAAATGTTCCGTAAATTTTAAGAAATTTCAGTAAGTACAAGTTAAAAAAGTTAGTTACAGTGGCGGCCTCAAAGGAGGGTCGCTACAAAAATATACCTGTTAAAATTTTTAACTTTTAACTGATATTTCACTATTCATAACTGATATTTACAAATTTTCTTTGTAAAAATATTCGTATTATAACCTTACACTTTTCGGGAGATTTTACTTCGTACATAAAGTTTCTACATAGCATTTCCTTGATCAAATTGAAAATTCTACTGCTTTTCATTCTGGAAGAATTTATGGTCAAAATGCCGAATTGTCCATATTAGACCTGAAATTTTCCCGGTCGTTACAGTTTATGACGGTGTGAACTCCTGAACTCACATTGTACCCTTCTACTATGAGCATTTATCTTGTGACTTTAACATAACTGTCTGGCAATTATGGATTTTTTTCTTCTTTTAAAATGTCAGTGCGTTTTTTTTATACGCTGCTAATATTGTGCTGTGCTTAGAGATTCTTGAAATTAAGATTCTCAAACTATACTTGTACTGAAAATTATTCCGCCTTAAAATACGTTGAGAATTTATCGATCGAATTTACTTGATCGAAACATGAACTTAACATGAAATCTACTATAAAATTTAGGAATACATATATTAATTCCATAAATCTTCCATTCACAATATAACATAATATTTTCTAGGAAAATTCTTAGCTTAAAAATACATGAATTATATTTTTTAAGGTCTAGAATTTTCTCCGTCATTCCATTTTTATCCCTAAATAGAAGTAAAATTAGGGGCAATGTGGTAATTTAATTTTATAATTAGGATTAAGAGTGTCAATCCGATAAAATTATAAGAGTGTTAATCACATTTCTCAATCTTAATTTGGTATAAGGTTCACACAATTTTATTCACATTTTAAGATAAAAATAAATAAATAAATATGAGACAAGTAAACACACCATCAATATAAATACTGTACAAACAAAAACAAAAAACAAAAAATTGCTTTCTTGACTGATTTAGCACCATCCTTTGAAAAAGTCAAAGCCCACTCATCAGGAAGGTCATGTGTCCATCTATATTTGGTCAACTTGATCAATGCAATACGAAAAAAATTTCACAGGACATTTTCAAATTTGCGTGCTTCGGACTTAGAAAGCTTTTCTGATGGCGTCACCTGCAGCATATCTTACCTTTTGTATAGGATACTTTTTGTATTGTGAGAAGTGGTAGCCACTCTCACCTAGGTTGGGTAAAAAAAAAAAATTTATTTATTTATGTATAGTGAGAAGTGGTAGACACTCTCCGTAGGCGTTACATGACATTTTTGTACTGTGAGAAGTGATAACCACTCTCACCCTGACCGGACTAGGCATTTTGTTATTGTATCATGGGAAGTGGTAGCCATTCCCAACAGACATGCTGATATATGTAGATGATACGGGAAGTGAAAAACACTCCCGACAGTTATGATTAAAAGTTATGAAATCGAGCTTAAAAGAAATTAAAAGTTTATGCATAATTAGAGAAAATTCTATTTATGAATCAAGAGTGTAAATCAAAATGAAATCATGTATCAAGTAAACAAGATTTTATGTATCCTTACCATGATATGAATACATTCCGCATATAGACATAATTTTAGACGCATAGAAAGGTAAAGACTTACATAGTACTTTCTTGAATGAAGGATCATGGTTCGACCACGAGCACAAGCGGCTCGAAACCAGCCGGAGGTTGACTGGACGGGTCAGATGGCCGAAATGAGACAGTTGCTGCAAGCGCAGCAACAAGAGATGAATGCCTTGCGTGAACAGCTAGCGCGTCAGAATCAGGCACCACCAGCTGGAGGCAAACCAGCCCACGAAAACCCACCTGCACGGGAAAATCCCCCTGCAACTGGCGGTCAGAACGGTCAGGAGATACTGCCTGCACCGATCGCACATGTAGAAGCTGAGGGACAGGACCATCACCTAGCAGAGGATAGGCGTTGGATCTCAACCTTAAAAAGGTTCCGTCGTATGAAGGCGCCAGAGTTCCATGGTTCCACAGACCCGATAGAAGCAGACAACTGGCTGACTGATGTTCAGGTAGACCTGAACCTTATGAGGTTGAATGACCATGAAAAGGTCCTGTGCGCCTCCTATATGCTCAAGAAGGAAGCCCGCAGATGGTGGCAGACGGTGGAGCTAAAAAGGAATGTCGATGAGATGACTTGGCAAGACTTCATTGAGGAATTTAATGAGAGGTATTTCAACTTAGACAACATGGCCGCCCAAGAGGATGAGTTTAATAATTTTCGCCAAGGAAATTTGTCCGTGGTAGATGCGGTGCAGAAGTTCAAGCAACTAGCTCGTCTATGCCCACACATGGTGACCTCAGAGCGGGAGGAGGTTAGGAGGATGATGAAAATGTTCCGAACCGACCTAGCAGTGGTGATTAGTGGCGGAGGCAGACCGCTTGCGACCGTGGAAGACTGTGTTGGTCGAGCCATTCGTACAGAATACTGGGTTAACCAAAACAGGGAGGAAAGGGCTAAATTCTTCCAAGCCAAGAAAGAGGAAAGGGCTAAAGGGAAACAAAACCCGGAAACCCAATCCAAAGGGCCGAATAGTAACCCAGGCCAAGGTAACAAGCAGCAAGGACAAGGCCAGAATAAGAGGAAAGGGAACTTCAACCCGGGGAACCAGAAAGGCCAATCTCAGAAGAAGAACAATGCCGGGCAAGTTAACAACAGTTTCCCCACTTGCAATAGGTGTGGGAAGAAACATCCAGGAGAATGTAAAGCTGGGACAAACATTTGTTTCACATGTGGCAAAGAGGGCCATTTTTCCAAGGATTGTTATTCCAACCCCCAGAATCGAGCGAATCAGAATCAACAGAGAGTTCA